GAGTCAAGATATGAGTGTCTTGTTCATGGAACAACCAGGAGGCCAGAGTCACTGGATTGAATAGTAAGGTATAAACAGTAAGGATTAAAGTGTAAGGCCCCAACTACACTGCAGTTAGGCCCTCCCTAAGGATGTAGATTTCGCTGAGAGATATGTCAATGTATAAAAATGCCTTACTTTTTTTAAGGTAACCTCTATTCTAATTTTTTTCAATTAACAAGCATTTATTTCCTTGCCTTCCCACGTTCTACACACACCACACACACACACACACACACACACACACACATCTTTTACTGGTGGGTGGGGGAAACACCTTGTAATAAATCTGCAGTCAAATAAAACAAATTCCTGCATTGGCCATTTATAAAAATACACATCTCACGATACAGCTTGATTCCATCACCTTTTTGTCAAGAGGTAGGCAGCATGCAGACTTCATCACTGATCTTCTAAAATGCTGGTTGATCATCACGCTGATTAGAGGAACTACTTCTTTCAAAGCCGTCTTTATAATGTTGTTATGGAAAAAAATTGTTCTTATGCCCAAAGGGCTACAAAAATGTGCATACCCTTTGACCCAGCAATAGCACTTCTAGGGCTATATCCCAAAGAGATCAAACAAATGGGAAAAGGACCCACATGTACAAAAATATTCATAGCAGCTCTTTTTGTGTTGGCAAAGAATTGGAAATTGAGAGGATGCCCATCAACTAGGGAATGGCTGAGCAAGTTGTGGTACATGAATGTAATGGAATACTATTGTGCTATAAGAAATGATGAACAGGCTGACTTCAGAAAAACCTGGAAAGACTTATATGGTCTGATGCTGAGTGAAGTGAGCAGAACCAAGAGAACTTTGTACACAATAACAGCCACGTTATGCAATGACTAAGAATGTTAAACTGAACCCTTCTCAGCATTATGAGGATCTAAGACACCTCCAGAGGCCTCGGGATGGAAAATGCTTTCCACATCCAAAGAAAGAACTATGGAAGTCCAATCGCTATCACTTATTTTTACCTTCTGTTGAGTTTTGTTTCATCTTTCTGATGATTCCTCCTATTGGTTTTAATTTTTACTTACAACTTCACTAATGTGAAAATATGTTTAATGGGTATGTAAATGTAAAGCCTATGTTAGATTGTGTGCCGTCTTGGGGAGGGTGGGGGGGAGGAAAAGGGAGAAAAATTTTCAACTCAAAAGCATATGAAAAAAATTAAAAATAAAGTATTAAAAGTAAAAAAAAAATTGTTCCATTCTTTCCATTCTTCATCACTTTCCTTATTTCTTACAACACTACAGAATTCCATTACATTACTATACTCTAATTTGTTCAGTCTTTCTCTAATTGATAAGACACTTCCCTTTTCAGTTTTCCCAACAATGTCTAGTCCTTTGAGAGAGAGAGAGAGAAAGAGAGCTACTATAGACATTTTTGTACCTATGGACCCTTTTCTTCTTTCTTTGATGTATTTAGGATATAGACCTAAGGGTTAGTATTGCCAGATCTTAGGGTATGGGAGGTTTTATGACTCCAAATTGCTTTCCAGAATGGCTAAATGAATTCACAGCTCCAACAACTGTGCCTGTATTTCCTCAGTTCATCAAACATTTACCATTTTCTTTTGACATCTTTGCCAATCTAACGGGCATGAGGTAGAAACTCAGAGTTGCTTTAGTTTGCATTTCTCCAATTATTTGTGACTTGAAGCATTTTTTTTTCTTTCATGTGGCCACTGACACTTTGGATTTCTTCCTTTGAAAACTGCCTATTCATATTCTTTGACCACTTATCAATTGAGGAATAGCTATTATTTATTCCTATAAATTTAAATCAATTCCTTATATGTTCTAGATTGAGATCTTTATCAGAGAAACGCTGCAAAACGTTTTTTTTTTCCTGGCTCTTTGCCTTTTAATTTTAGCTGTACTGGTTTTATTTGTGCAAAACCTTTTCAATTTTATGTAATCAAAATTATCTATTTTATCTTCTGAGATCCTCCCTCTACCTTATTTGGTCATGAACTATTCCCCTATCTGTATCTGAAAGGTAATTTCTTCCATGCTCCTCCAAATTGTTTATGACATGAATTTTTATATCTAATCATATATTCATTTGGAACTTATAGTGGTATATGGCATGAGTTGTTTTTCTAAACTTATTTTCTGCCAGACTGCTTTCCAATATTCCCGTAAGTTTTTGTCAGATAGTGAATCCTTATCCCAGTAGATGGAATCTTGGGGCTATTAGTTTGGAAAATCCTAGTAGCAAAGGAAGGCCACAAGCAAGCATTATCTTGTGGATAGAAGTCCACAGACTATTACAAAAGGACGTTTCCTAAATGAAGAGTTCCCTTTGCCTGGCCATATGGGGCCTTTGTGGCACCGTTCCTTTTCCTATGAGACATTTCTGTTTCATTTCCTTCCCTTAATTTTCATATTGTACAAACCACATTTTCCCATATGTATTTCCTTTCTATTTATATTGTAACATCTTCAAAGATAGGGCTTGGGTTCTTGATGTTACTTACAGGCTGAACCTGAGAATACTCATAAAGCAAACTGGTCAAATAACCATGGTGTTAGTTCACTAACAGGTCACAATTACTTCGTCCTTAACCCTTGTACAAGTATCTACTTGTCCCCTGGTGTAGCGTGCTGACTAGCTTGACAATGACTCTCCTACCCAATAAAATTGAAGGAATCAGTCTGACAGTCAGTCAAAGTAACTGTGGCAAATGCTAGGATTACAAAGAAAGGCAAAAATGCAATCCCTGCCCTCTAGAAGCTCCCATTGTAACTGGGAAATTACATATACATATATAAACAAGTATTCATATAAGAGAGCTAGGTGGCACCATAGGAAAAACACTGGGCCTGAAGTCAGGAAGACTCATCTTCCTGAATTCAAATCTGACCTCAGATACTTTTTAGTTGTGTGACCTGGGCAAGTCACTGAACTCTATTTGCCTCAGTTTCCTCATCTTTAAAATGAGCTGGAGAAGGAAATGGCAAACCATTCTAATACCTTTGACAAGAAAACTCCAAATGGGGTCACCAAGAGTTAGACAAAACTGAAACAACTAAACAAAATACATATGAGAGATACAAAAAGTAGAAGGAAAATGACCTCAGAAGAGATTAGGGACAATTAGGGGTAACAATAACAATTAGGGATGGGGTTAGGAGGAACCACAAGCATTTACTGAGTACCTTCTATGTGTCTGTCACTGTGCTAAGAAAAGTGTGGGGGCTGCAGGTGCTGTTGAGGGAAGAAAGATCGGGCAAGGACACAGTCACAAGTCATGATACTGAACTTAGGCCAATGACAGAAAAAGGCCAGGATAGATCACACTTTGTTTCCTTCTGATCTGCTCTTTCTTTCTATCAATCAATCATTAACCAACATATATATGCATGTATGTATGTGTATATGTATACATATGTGTATATACACATTTACACATACATACATATATATACATATATATAAATATTTCCCATTGCTTGCCAGGTATTATGCTAAATGCTGGCAAATGCAAATAGAAAAAAGTAAGACAATCCCTACTCTCAAAGGGCTTATCTTCCATCAGTCCTTCTCACCCTCCTATCTCTCTCAAGTTCTGACTTCTCCCTCAGAAGGCTTATCTTCTACTCTTTCTGGAAGCTCCAACTTAGGATGACAACCCAAAGGCTGCCCACTCTACCATGACTCTGAAAAAACCCCCAAAAGCTTATAACAGCAATGGCCCGTTCTCAATGCTCGTTCAAGGATTCCTTGATCCTGAAGTTCAGTAATAGGTTAAAAAGACATATGTCGGGATAAGGAGGAGTATTGAGAGGGAAAATACTATAGGAAGGAGAAGATACTGTGGCAGGTGAAAGATGAAATGACTGAGTGAACAAAGGTTTGCTCTTCCAAGCATATAAATTTATTAAGCAATGCAAGCTAATTGCCCAAATTGGCACCAGGTCCCTTCCTCAGCTTAAGCCTAGACTCCAAATACGAAGGGAGACAGACTTTTATGCATTAAAAAGTTTTAATCAATAAAGTCAATTAATTAAAAGGAAACAACATAATACTAGGTAATTTTATTTCTAATTGGATGAAAATTAGGGACTTTCCAAGTTGGGAGGGGCAGAGTGAACAGGCGCAATTCCTTGAATTCAGAAGAATAGGTGTCCCACTCACCCCAGGTTTCTGTAAACAATCAAAGCAGCATGGAAACAATAACTGATTGGTCAGTATGAGGGCCAGTTTTCAGATAAGTCACATGAGTTGCTTGAGATATATAACAGCTAGAAAACTCCTAATGAATGGGGGAAAAAAAGAAAACTCCTTTCATCCATCTTGGAATCTGACTGGGTTTCTGGTCAGCATAACCTAGGTCCTTTGTTAAGGGTCTCCAAGCAGCATGGAGGAGTGGTCCAGTTTCCCAGGTACAGAGGGCTAGGTTCAAACAATGTAATAAGGTTTTCTCCCACAATTGAATGAAGTTTTCTCGCAAGACAGAATTTGGACCAGACTCAAAACTGAATAGAAAGGGAACTGAGCTAACTTCAGAATCAAGTCACAAGATGGAGTGAGTGTGGTTCACTCATTTCCCACACTTGACCACTTGAGGTTCCTAATCCCCTCAATTCCCTCAATACTGTGGAGGGATCAAAGCTAGAGTATGTGATACGAAACACTCTAACCCACTTAATTTACTTATAAATGAAATAATGTTGGCAACATGACTGGGCCTTCCCATGCTCATCCATAGTGGGCAAGCTGGCCAAGGACTCCTAGTATCAAGAGCAACAGCAAGATGTGAAGTTTCTGAGTTAACAGGCTTTGAGAGTGTTAAACATTTTCAATGAAAATGAAATTCATTGCCAGTAAAACTTGGTTATGTCAGAAAAGAGGAAGTAAAACCTCTACGTAAAACAACTGAAATTCTTGCTCTTCCTGTGTGGGCACAATCAGTTTTGCTAACTCAGCAGAAGCAGAGACAGCATATGGGTTAAAACAGAATTATTGGGGAAAGAGTTCATGAGGGAAGATGGCTTCTTCTATGTTACACTTGTCTTACTGGGTGATTCTAAAAGTGAAAGATGAAGAATTAACAATTACAATAATAGCATGACTAGTGAAGACAACTAAGGTAAAGAAATATGTTACTTTTCTACTAAACAGGAAATAGTAATGAAAGATTCATCAGTGCAATAAGGAAGAAATTAGATTTGCCATGTTAGGGTGCTTACAATGTCAAAAATACTAGATGCAGCAAATGGCAAAATTGGTCTTTCCTGCTCTTCCACTCTCATCCTTTGCCTCTGCCTCATAGATATTCTCTACACATTTTGTTTCCTCTCCAGCTACCCTCTGGATGTCCAGACCCTCCTCCCACACAGGCAGCCCTGCATGCTAGACCCTTCCTACCTCTTCCCTTTCATCAGTGTTTCCCTGAATATTAATCTATTGGCAGATAGAGCCAGGCAACATAGGGCCTAAAAAGGAAAAATGGAAACAAGCATTTATTAAGCACCTACTTTTGCTAGGTACCACGCTGAGTATTGGAGATACAAAAACAAAAACGAAATGATTCCTGCTCTCAAGAATTTACATTCTATCACAAGAATCAACTGGCAACCTATTAGCCTCTCAGCTAGGTAATGCACACAGAACCACAGATTTAGACTGGGAAGAAGTCTCCAAAGGCATCTAGTTCAGCCTTTCTCATTTTACAGATGTGAAAACTGAGACCCAGAGAGATTAAGTGTTTTACCCACAATCACACAGATAAGAACATGCCAACCACTGTGCTAAGCACTTTACAAATACTATTTCATTTGATCCTCACCACAACTTTGGGAGGGAGTTGGTATTATCATTCCCATTTTATAGTTAAGGAAAATGAGGCTGACAGAAGTCATGATTTGCCTAAGATCACACAGCTAATGGGAAGTGTCTGAAGCCACATGTCAGAGACCAGATTTGAATTTAGGTCCTCTGACTAGAGATAGTGTTCTTTCCCAGTTGGTTTTCCCGATAGAATGTAAATTCTTGAGATCAGGAATCTTTTCATTTTTGTTTTTGTATCTCCAATACTCAGCATGGTACCTAGCAATAGTAGGTGCTTAATAAATGCTTGTTTCTGCCCTTGCCAAAGTCTAGTGGGGTTTTTTTTCCTTCTGTTCTTCAGTGTATTACGGCAAAGCTTACATGGTCTCTGTTCACTCTCCCTTGATCTGAAAAGTAGAATGTTGTACATTGTGGGCTGTTTATGTTTATTTTGTTCTGAAATTAAAGTATTAAGAAGAAAAAAATATATGGTTACTAGAATTCAAAATGTTAACCCCACATAATATTCCTCCCTTCACTGATATTCTTTATGATTGCAGGCATAGGAGCTACAGATCCAGAGAGTTAGAAAAGAAAAGGATTTCAAAGCAGAATCTCGAGTTTTCCACAGAAGCTACCCAAATCCCATAGTGGGAAGCTAAGTAATTTATTTCTTACTAACACAGCTTCAATAATTCTTTAATACTAATATGACTGTGTAATCTATGATTTTGTCTCAATTTAAATTAGGAAGCACATAGGGAGATGAGTGAGAAAAGGTATCCAAAGATTCTGCCAAAATCTAAATAATCATTGTGGAGAGAGAGGGGATAGGACAAAAAGTCACAGAAAAAAGGCCGCCTTTTCTGTGCATAAGTAGATTAAGGATTTGACTTCAGCTTTTAAATCGCAGTCCCAGTAGAGAATGTGGTTTAATAGTTCTGTGTTGTTAGTTTTTATTTTTCAAAAAACTGAAACAGAGAAGATAATTCATCGTTAAAAAAAATCCTGTGGCCTGTCTTAAAGGTTTAAGACTATGGGGGATGGGAAGAGGAGAGGAAGAATTTCTACCTCAGTCACAGTGTGCAATTTGTCAAGTAACCTCCAGATATCCACCTTCTAATTTAATTCTCAAATCTAAATTGTTTCACCTAATTCAGAATCTAATTTCTACTGGGCTAGGAACTCTATATAATACTTAGGTTGTTCAATAACATAATAAAGAACTGTAGTTATTATTGTAATATGTCACAGCACATGCTAGAGTAGCTGGCAGTACTATAATTGTGTGTAATTGTATAAATAAATGATGTCGAGGCTGGTGCCATGATGCAGAATGCTAAACACCAAGAAAAGAGCCCACAGGACAGAATCCCTCTGCATTGCAGAAGGCAGCTCACTGCATTTATCCTGAAAGAACCTTTGAATGATCAATGCATTCTAACAAAGAAAAGGATATTGTTTGAGGCAAAGTAATACAATTTATAGAGACTACATTTTGTCTGTGTTTTTTCAAAGACTAAGATAAAGAAATTTATCTTATAAAGTCTCTCATGTTTTATGAACTCGAATTATTACTTAGCACTACTACACATTTACCATCCTTTGGTTAATCAACCAAGCAAATATTTCTTAATACTAGAATGAACAGTTATCTCAAGAGATGCAAAAATTTTATTATAATTTTACTTTAAAATAAAAATTGTCATCCTATCTCTGTTTTCTTTGATTTATGAATAAAAAAAAATATGTTGCATCAATTGATATGGCATGGTCCTTTGAGGCATTCTTAAATTTTAACCCTTTTGTGAAATTCCTACAATGTGGAACACTGTGGGGGATACAGATGATGGACAAAGCATGACCACTGCCCTCAAGGAAGTTACCTACAACCTAGCTGGGGAAACTAATACACATGAATCAATTACAGACAATACAAAACAATGCAGAATTAAGTGCTAAATTATGTGACAGATTATGAATTACAGGAGCTCAGAAAAGAGGAAGATCCTTAGGGCTATAATGGAAGGTTTCATGAGGGAGCTGGGATTGGGGCTCCATCTTAAAGGGTAGAGAAGATTTTCAAAGTAAAGAGGAGAGGAAAAGGTATCCCAAACAAAGGGAACAACTTGAACCAAGGTACAGAGATGAGAAGGGGGAAAAAGCGTGAGGTATTTGTCAGAAAAGAGGTATTCTTTAAAGAATACTGAAAAATGAAATGGAAAAGGGTGCAGCCAGAAAATGATGCAGTGATTTAAGCATGAACCAGAGAAGTAATGAAGTAATAAAATGGAAAGTAATAAAGAAAAATAGAATGAAGAGGAAAGGATAAGAATGAAAAATATTTGAAAGAAAAAATCAACATGATTTCATAAATGACTGAATATAAAGAGAGTGAGAATTCAGAGGTGATTACAAAGTTTCATGAATATGTAAATGTTAGTACCATTGAGTGGCAAGGAATTTGAGAAACAGTTTATTTTATAGTTAGCCTTCATTTACATAGCACTTTAAGGAGTGCAAAATATTTTACATGTGTTATTCTGTATAATGAGTTCAGTTTTGGACACATTGAATTTGGACTAATAATAAAACATGCAAGTGGAATATTCAGTAACCAGTTTGGAAATATGAGGCCAAAGTTCAAAAAAAAATTTAGATTTGGGAGACATCTGCATAAACTTGAAGGCATTAGACTAATTAGGTTTCCAAATGAAAGAATGAAAGGACAAGTGGTTCAAGGATTGAGATCTGGGGAATTTCCATAAGGAGGGGCAAAGAGGAAAGAGAGGAACCTGTGGAAAAAAAAGTAAATCAAAAGTATTAGGAAAACCAGAATTCTGTCATATCACAAAAGCCAGCATGTAAAAAAAAAAGGAATTGTTTTAAATGGAAGAGGAGAGACATCAGAACCAAATGATGCAGAGACTTCAAAACAAATGAAGACAGAGTCAAGGATTATTTTGATGATAATGGCAATGGCGCTTTCCAAAAGAAGGTGCTAGGTACGGCACCCAGATTCTTAAAGAATCAAAGAAAGGAGTGAATGGCAAGAAATCAACTAATAACAAAGAGAGTTAGATTTGGGTTCAGGGGATCTGAATTTGACTCCAAGTTCTGTTACTTTGGGTAAGACTTGATTCCTCTGGGCCTCAGTTTCCTCATCTGTAAATTTAGAGGAATGGACTAGATTACCTGTAAGGCTCCAACTCTAAATCTACTATCTTAATGTAAATTCTTCATTTGAAAGGTTTGGAAGTGAAAGGAAGGAGAAAAATATGACACTAGCTGGAGGAAACGGAGAAGAATTACCAAGAAAAGTTTAAAGGTAATTGTAAAGAGAATAGAAATGGAAAGATCGCAAAATCTTTTAATGCTTTCTGAATGATCAAAAAGATGAAATATTTTAGTTTAATGTTAAGGGCATTCTGTGAAAATTAATAAAGAATACAGGTACGTAATATGTATTAACTGGAATACTTGATAGACTTGATAAACAACACATTCCACAATCATGACTAATTACAGTTCAGCGCATTGTGTTTTCATTTTCTATTTGTGAATCAATAATATATCATGGTTACTAATAAGTTTCCAATAATTTATTTGCCTACCTTTCTTTTATGATTCTAGTTCTTGAATGTATCCTTACTCCAAAAGGAGAAAGAGGAATTTGGCTATCAGTTTGCTCACCCTTATCTTCTTTAATAGGAGACAACATTTTCTGGTGCATTTCTTCCTCTCCTGAGTTATCATCTAATAACAAATACAGAAGCAGTAAGTTTAGTTACCCTATCAATAAGTATTTATTGAGCACCTAATGTATACTCAGAAGTATTTAAATTAAAGTAACTTTATCCCATGGGAATTTGAGGATGAAATTCGAAGAATAATAGATTAGAAATGGAAACGATCACAAAATTGTGCTTTTATTTTATAACAAACTCTTTTCACCAAGATGGTAAAAGCTACCACATTTGAATTGTAACATAACTCCCTATGTGCTACATGAGGAGATGGAAATGGCATTAAAGAAAACAGAGACGAGAAAAGAAGCTGGACTATATTGAGTATATGGACTAGATCAAGTATACATAAAGGAGGTCTACACTGGGAACACACAAAATTTTGAGGGTGCTGAGGAACTGATTCTTTTTTGTGTATTTCTTAATTTTTTAACATTGATTTTTAAATATTTTAACTTCCAAATTCTCTCCTTCCTACAGCTTTTCCCCCATTCATTAAGAAGGCAAGCAAGATGATACCCATTACACATGTGAAGTCATGCAAAATGTTTCCATATTGACTATGTTACAAAACAAAACCTCCCAAAAGTAGGAAAAACAAAGGGAAGAACAATTATGTTTCAATCTGCACTAAGAGTTCATCAGTTCTCTCTCTGGAGGTGGATAATATTTTTCATCATGAGTTCTTTGGAATTGTCTCATATCATTGTATTGATCAGTGTAGCTGTTTTTCACAGTTGATCATCATTACAATATTGCTGTCATGATGTACAATGCTCTCTTGGTTCTGCTCCCTTCATTTTGCATCAATCAGTTCATATAAGTCTTCCCAGGTTTTTCTGAAACCATCCCCCTTGCCATTTCTTGTAGCAAAATAGCATTCCACCACAATCATATACCACAACTTGTACAGCCATGGGCATCTCCTCAATTTTCAATTCTCTGCCATCGCAAAAAGAGCTGCTAAAAATATTTTTGTATATTTAGGTCCTTTTCATTTTTTCATTGCTCTTTTGGGATACAGACCTATTAGTGGTATTGCTAGGTCAAGGGGTATGCATAATTTTATAAACCTTTGGGTATAGTTTAAGATTGTTCTTAAGAATGGTTAGACCAGCTTACAACTCCACAAATAGTGCATTAATGTACTTGTTTTTCCACATCCTGAGGGATTGGTTCTTAAGGTGTCTGAAAGAGAAGATACCAAAAAGGGAAAAGAAAATATATTATAAGCTGGTTGTTTGTTTGTTTGTTTTACCACCACAAAATGGCAATCAAAAGAATAACTACTAACTCATATTCCACCTTTTTCATCACTACAAAAAAATTTATGAGAATCTATACCCACACTGGGGGTTTCCTTCGTGAAAATATGAGAAAAGTCAGATTTTTCACAAATGATATTTGACAATAGACTACATCTTCACAAACAGTTATTTGAAGTATATGGTAAAACAATCAACCAGCAAGCATTATTAAACTCTTATTATGTGCCAGGCATTGAGCTAGGCACTGAGAATATTAAGGCAAAAATGTAACAATCCCTGCCCTCAAGGAATTTCTATTCTATTGGGGAGACATGCATCTAAACATGCTTATATAAAATAAATGTAAAGTGATCTTTTTAGGTGGAGTGGGGACACTAACAGGAGAGAGAGGAGATCAGGAAATACTTTGGATAAGAGATATTTCTTGATCAGAATTCTGAAGGAAACAGATTATATGAAGTAGAGGTAAGGTGGAAGTGTCTTCCAAGCATGGGGGTCACCTAGTACAAGGGCACGGAGATAGGCAATGGAGTGTCTTGTGTAAGACCCTTCAATTAGGCAAATTTAGTTGCTAGAGCTTGGAAAAGGGAATAATGCAAAATTAAATTAGAAAAGTAAAATGGGAATAGGTTGTTAAGGACTTTCAAAACTAACCAGCAGAACTTATATTTTATATTAGAGGCAGTCAGGAACTATTAGAGTTTATTGAGTAGGGGAATGACATGATTAGATCCATACTTCAGGAAAATCACTTTTGCAGCTGTGTGGAGAATGGATTGGAGAAAGCAATTTCAGTTAGGGAGACTACTTAGGAGTCTATCATACTACAAGAATACAAAATCTCACAGGGTTTACTGTTTGTTGACTATAACTGAGGACTTGATTTGGTAGGGAAAAACACCAGAACTTTCTTTCAGGGCGTCTCTCAAGTATAGCTCAACATCACGCAAGATTCTTTGAAAGAAATACCAGAGATACCTTTTTTGACAAACCCTTGATTATTAGTATCAAGTAAGGAGTAAAACACAGAAATATATGCTCATCAAAGGGGTCATCACCATCATGGAGGATAATATTACAAAATCCAAATGGAAGAGTGATTCTCTGTCAAATGGTATGGCTCTCCAGATGTTCCTATTTGTGGATGGCATTATATGATTGTATCAAGCCCCAGGGATATTGTAGAGTTTTCCAAATAAGATAAAAATCATTCTAACATGTTTAGTCTAATTCTTCACACAATGAATGAAAAATTTCTATTATACAGACTATGATAGTCTAAGTTTTTCTATCAGTATATAGATGCATGTGTATGTGTATGTGTGTGTATATATATATGTGTGTGTATACATACATATATACATATATATATATATATATATATATATATATATATATATAACATACACACGCATACATACACATGCATATGTACATATATCTTGGATAGACAATGTAAGTAGACAATGAGCTGAGCCCAGAATTGAAAAGAAAGAAGAGAGAAGACTAAACTGCCTTTGGGAAATTGTGCTATTTTCAAAAGTAACCCCAAGTTTCTCCCTGAAACAAAGTCCCATTTTTAAAAATATACTTTTTTCTCCCCCCCCTTAATTACATGTTAAAACAATTTTATAGCATTTGTTTTTTTTTCAAGTTTTGAGTTCCCAATTCTCTCTCTCTCCTCTCCCCCTCCCTGAGACTCTAAGCAATCAGATATAGTTTATATATATGTAATCATGTAAAACATTTCCATATTAGTTATTTTGTACAAGAAGACATGAATAAAAGAAAAAAATGAAAGAAATAAAGTGAAAAATAGCATGCTTCAATCTGTTTTCAAACAATGTCAGTTCTTTCTCTGGAGGCAGCTAGTGTGCTTCATCATTAATCCTTTGGAATTTTCTTGGATCATTGTGTCACTGAAAATAACTAAGTTATTCACAGTTCTTCATCGAGCAATATTGCTGTTACTGTGTATAAAGCTCTCCTGGTTCTATTCACTTCACTTTGCATCAGTTCATGTAAGTCTTTCCAAGTTTTTCTGAAATCATCCTGCTTGTAATTTCTTATAGCATGATAATAGTCCATTACAATCATATACTACAACTTGTTTAGCTATTCCCCAATTGATGGATATCTTTTTTTTGGGGGGGGGGTTGGCTAGGTAATGGGGTTAAGTGACTTGCCCAGGGTCACACAGTTAGTAAGTGTTATGTGTCTGAGGCCAGATTTGAACTCAGGTCCTTCTGAATTCAGATGGATATCTTTTTGATTTCCAATTCTTAGCCACCACAAAAAGAGCTGCTATAAATATTTTTGTACAAATTGGTCCTCCCCCCCCTTTTTTATGTCTTTGGAATATAGACTTGGTAGTGGTATTACAGGGTATGCACAGTTTTATAGCTCTTTTGGCGTAGTTCCAAATTGCTCTCCAGAATGGTTGGACCAGTTTACAACTCCACAAACAGTACATTAGTGTCCCTTGCTCAGGGTCAAGTAGCTAGTAAATGTCTGAGGCTGGATTTGAACTCAGGTCTTCCTAACTCCAGGCCCAGTGTTGCAGCCACTTCACCATCTAGCGATGGTCACTCAAAGGGCAATGGAAAGATAGATGATGAGTGTGAGCAGACTGCAACACATTACAAAGAAGGAATTGCCAGAGAAGTGGCATAAAGGAATGATAATCAGGTAGCAGGAGGAAGTGATCCTTATTGAAAGCTTCATATGCCCTGAAATTTCAAATTGACTGGGGAGCTCATTACATTGGAATTCATTGGCTTTACACTTGTATTGTGATGAATGAGAACACATTTAATATAGAGCAACCATATGTTATGGGGTATATCAATATGAAGATGAAGATACTGAGGCTGAGAAAGGTTTTTCAATGACTTACTCAAGTGTTTCTTCAGGAACAGATGGGACAGAATGGGAATCACTTGTGCATGTAGAGGGTTTTGCCTTAACAGGGAAAAGGACCGTGTCTTCAGGCAGCTAGGTGGCACAGTAGATATAATTCTGGGCCTAGAGTTAGGAAGATCTAAATTCAAATCTGGTCTCAGAGACTTACTAGCTATGTGACTCTGGGCTAGTAACTTAACCTCTGTGTGCCTGTTTCTTCAACTATAAAAAAAAAAGGGAATAATAATATCATCTGTCTCCCAGAGGTGATATGAAGATATGATGAGATAGCTGTAAAGCCACCAGTGCCTAGCACATAGTAGGTGCTTTATAAATACTTGTTTCCTTCCTTCATTTGGGGCAGGGGTGAAAGAGGAAGGAGACAGTTATCAGAAGGCTTCTGTAAGATGAGCAGCAGGGGAGAAGAAACAGCTCTTGATGAATAACTTTTTTTTTTTCGGTGAAATATGGGACAAGGCTCACAGCTAAGAGGGTGGAGGGAGGGGGATCCATGGGAGGTTTTAGGAGGCATGAAAAAGTTTGGAAAAGCCACTGTGGTGAGTCGAATAGTGAATTAGGAAGATGTACAAAAATTTTCTATTCATAGCGAAAGCCCTGTTGAGATTATGTAACATAAATTTGTAGTGGACTTGGTCAAAACAGTCTTGTGATTTTCTTGAGCCTTATTCAGTAGCAGGTGAATGGGAAGAAAGTCAGCAAATGGTGGGAATAATCCAAGGTTGAAGTTTTACAGGGTGAAATCTCCAATAATATAAGAGGCAGGGAATGGAGGGAAGAAGACAGTGTATACTTGATCAGTTTCATCAAAGGATCAAGATGGGCGCATAGGTAATGTCAGTGCATAGGTAATGCTTAGAAAAGAAATGGGAAGCGAGACATTGGAGGCAACAATTAGAATCGATTTCAACTGATGGAATGGATGTAACAATGGAGAACAGGGTTTGGAGTTGCAAGG